TTGGATCCGGACAGGAAGAGGAGCAGGGGATTGAGGATGAAACAGGCGGGACGAGGATCGTGTCGTGGAAGTTAGGCCGGAAAATTCGAGTTGTCGGGAAATTTGTGATTTCCGTCACTGAACTTTCTATCTCTATATCTATATCTATATCTATTTGTTACCCTGCACAGAAGTTTGTTGATTCACTGTTCCATTAAAGTTCAAAGTGTCGTCCCGATTCGGACCTATGGGGTATCTATTGAAAGAAGCTTTGAAGACTCTCTGTGCCAATAATCAGTGGTCTTATGCTATTTTCTGGAAGATCGCTTGCCAAAACCTTAAGTCAGTGTCCTCTCATATTTTTTCTGATCATTGAAATTTGGATTTTTTTTTTTATTTTTTATATGTGAATCTCTATTTGTTCACTGAGAAAATGGAGGAAACCCCAATTATATAAATCCCTAGTTAGTTGCTCGAAACATGAAGGAAAATAAAAGATAATAGACAATCTGCTCTTCTCATTTTCAAAATTTGTGGGGTCTTTGTTTGGTTGCTGAGAAAATGGAGGGAGGGGAAGAAATTATAACATTTTCCGTGTCAATTATACTTGTCGTTTAGGTTTCTGAAAATGACATTTTCAACTGAGTCGAGCTTTTTTATTTCCTAGGTCCTGACTCCTAAAAAAAGGGAAAAATCAGAGCCAAATTTTAATTTCATTTCTTTCCCTGCATTTTCTCTTTAACCAAACAGGCTTTCTTATTGAACTTTTTGATTCTCTGATTTTTCTTAGCTATGAGTAGAAATTTATGTGTTTGCCAACCACGTGATTCACTGCGACTAATTCAAGGCACCATGGTTGACGATAACCGCGATGGTATGGATCACGGTAACAAGTTCACGGCACCATGGTTGACGACGACAGAGGCGATGATCTAACAATGATAATGGAGTTTTGTGAGAATATAGAAAGAGAATACTGGTTGAGAGAGAGACAGTACGATGGAGAGAGAATGTGGGTTTGGGGTTTTATTAAAAATTACATTAATATACCTAATTTTATTGAGGTGGCATGGTCTAATAAGGTTATATTTGTAAAAAAACAAATGGGGTGAAAACTTAATCTCAAACCCTAAACTAATGTAACTAACCAAGGCTTAGTCAAACATGCCTTTAAAACTACTAAGGGGTATATACTACACTTTGCATTTTCATGTTTTTTGATTTTTTCTAAAATGATAATTATAGAGGGCATATATGTAATTGCACTTATACATATCATCGGAAAAAGGATTCCGACGTCTGGAGGGGGGCAAAGTGCTCAATTTCAGAACTACTATGATTAAGTTGCTCATTTTTTTACTGTTGGTAAATATATGTTTCATGTGACATTTAAAACATATCAAACCTTATACTGATACGTCATGAGATAATTAACAATATGCTAAGAAATCATTAATTAAATATGCAACTCTATATTTAATTAAATATGTAAAATAAAGTAATAAAATAATAATAATAATAAATAAAGAACCTGGACCAAGGTTAGTATTGGATACTATGTCCTTAAGTGAGATTCGTCTCGCTATGGTGCTAACGGACTCAGTAACATCTATCTCCCAGGATACAACGGTCTACATCCACTAATAGCAGCACTACAAACTCGTGGATACGGTGAACCTCCTTTGTGTAATACTCTCTCTGACTCAAAAATGCATCTATACTATTTAAATAATGAATTGAGTGCAATCCGAACCAAATGGCTCGAACCAAATTTAATATGGCTCAATGAAATTGGTTTTGGGCCTAAGTGGCTCAGACCACTTGACCATGGCTTGAACCCATATCCACTTGGATTGGGTTCATCTTGAGAGAGGGAGAGAATAAATTTTTTTGAACGATAAATTATGGTAGCCAGTGGGGTATTTATAGACTTAGAGATGCCTTTTTGGTGTATAGGTATGTTTGTTTGGGATTCCTTTTGGAGTATGGGTGTATCTGTTTGGAAAGAACGTATCATTTCATAGTTTGGTCACCTTCAACCGATTCTTAATTGTCAACCACATTACGTTCTTTCAACGTCTGTAACCCAAAACTCACAAATATGATTATGATTCAATGTGACTTCTCAATCATGCTACCCTTACTTTCCAACCCATCCTTAATCACGTTGAATCACATGTCAAGGATTCATTGTAATTTGGAAATTCTGTATTACAGAAACATTCTGCATCAATAACCATATTCATGGGTTATTAATATCGCAAAAGATATGGTGGCACCACTCTAATTACAGACTCCTAGATAAACAACTTCCATTCACACCAAATTTCTAACAATCCCCTACATGAATGGAATTGGCTGCTAAAATGCAAATGATAATGTAGACACTAGAGAGAGTATAGTCGGAAAGTTACTGCATCAGGATAGGTGGCTTTTGGCTTTGAACCTTCCCTAATGTATTACTATTGGATTTACTGGCTAACCAGTGAACGCGATGTCTTGAACTGTTTAGCCGTTTGTGTAAACCAAGACAATAACAAACACACAGTACATTTCCTCACAAAGTTGGTTCTCATTGTTGTGTTCATTTTGGCCCTGAACAAGTCCTAGTATTCAATGAGTGCTCCAGAAAACTTAGCCTTTATAGTTCTCATAGAAGCGGCCCCACTTCACACTCATATAGGTGATTTCTTATTAAGAGTATCCTACCATACCCTACTTGAATTTTCAAGGTATAAGAGTCATTAAAAGCATAGCTTATCCTAATCCTCGCTGTAGGTAGCACTGTCTCATCATAGAAATGGGCAGAAGATTTATATCTTCCCAGTGCTTCTGGTGAGTCATTCAAAATTTCTGTTGTCCCTTTGAACCTAGATCTTGAGATCTCCAGTCAGCTAGGTTGGATTTCCATTAAGATAACTCGTTATCTTTCGGCTTTTAATCCCATTCCCCCCGATGATCTGTACAATTGTTCTATAGTACAACCCTCAATTTTATATGTGGCCACAAGGTTATGTTTAGAAATATTACACTCTGCAGAGATTTCTCCAGATGAGAGTAACTGTATACTTTGTGCCCTAATATTGCTTACTGTTAGCAATATCATTTTCTTTAGTGGCACAAGTGTAGACTTACTTTGAAATGTCCTCTAGGTGAAGTCTATTGACTTTCTTATTTGATTTATTCAAAGTTTCTAACTTTGAGTTGTATTAAGAACATACAACTACACCTTTAATATAAAAGACATATCCACTCTTGAATTTGAAGTCTTTAATATCACATCTAGATTGCATCATTGTTACACCTCCAATTTAGTTAGATACCTCGATCTATGCAATATTGGATTTAGGGTGTATCTCAACTACCCAATTTATTGTTTTTCAGTGATCCGATCCTGGATTGAAAATGTGCAATTAAACACAGTTTTTAAGATGCCTTGCAATCTCAACCAATGATATACTTTGACTAGTATTTATATTTGAGATTTACATTTACAAAAGTTAGCTAGGCTTTTGTTATCATAACTAATATTATCTCAATTTCACTCTATTGAGAATATACTATGTTATCAGATGTTAAATCTTTCATATCAAATATACTAATTAGTATATCATTAAATTTTTTTTTTTTTAAAGGCATATAATGACTTATACATCATATTTATGTTATTGTCTTGGTACCACCTTTAGTCCACTCAAGGACTTATATGCACACTTTACTTTTCAACTAGAACAAATAACTCAGCTCTTCCGCTGAAAAAAGAACTCTTCTAGTTTTTCCATAATATTTTACTCATAGGAAACAACATGCATTATTGTTATAATACTATAAATGATTTTTGGTTCTATCCAAAATTTCTTAGGATTAAGAACCCTACATTTATAAGTATTTCTTATCTGGTGAGGTAACTTATAGCAAATTTCATTTGTGGACATTATCCCCCCACAACTTTGGAAATTTTATATATGATATATTTCTTATGGTTTTCCAAACCTTAAAATACCATATATTAAATATTTCACCTCATCTACCTTTCCAAGGTTCTATATTCGCTTCTCAACAAGCATGTATAATAGTCTCTAGTGCATAAATATTCACTTTATCTCTAACTTGTTCTTATAATATATCACTAACGTTACTGTGAGTTAATGCTAGAGATATTAATTACAATGGACTTTAATTCATATTTGCTTCTACATCTCTTGTATTTATGAATTGAGTTATTCATGTCTAGGTTCGTGTTAAGTCAATTATATTAACATGTCATAACCTTTCATGTGTCACACATCACATACCAAGGGCTTTGCAAAGGCGATATTTTATTAATCACAATAATGAAACTACCTTACAAAATACAAGGGACATACCAAGGACACACATCTATGTGGACCTCTCAAATGTACACTATAAGGAGGAACAGAAGTAGGCCAACGCAATAAAGACCCGAAGCCTAGAAAATTATCACGTTTGATGTACCACCACTACTAAATAGTCATAATATCCCAAATGCCAAGATAGTTACCAGCGAGAGAATGAAAATGAAACTTGTACAAAATATTAACAAAACTGCAATTTTCACCATCTCCAAGAAACTTGGAATAAGCACTGAACCTCAAAATTAAATTTGCAAAGCTGAAGGGAAAAAAAAAAAAAAAAACTTACAAGAGAAAGCCACGTCAACAGCCAGGACCTAGCATAGGACCATGTCTCTACAGGATTTTTATATTTTCATTTTATATTTTAAATTTTTTTGAATTTGTGAAGATAGTACTACTAAAATAATAATTCATCCCTACTGAATTATTATTTTTTTTTGTATTTTATACTTCAAATTTTTGAGAATTTTTAAAGATACCCTAACTAATATTACAATTCGCCCACTGATTTATTTATTTATATTTTTTATTTTTAAAAAATTTATGAAGAAAACTCCCACTATATAAATTTGACCCCACAAACTAAAAGATCACCACCCTCACAAAATTTTTTGAATCCGTCACTGAACATCAACAAAACCAGAGTAAACGAAACTCCCAATTTTATAATCATAGCCAGAAGTACAAAATCAGATCTGCAAAGGAGAAAATAAAAAATAAATAAATATCGTTAAGGTGAATGTTAAAACATCCACAATATCACTTAGTTTTTCTATCACTTAATACTGATAACCATAGCCAGCAGACAAAGGCCCACAATTGATCACCTTAGCCAGAAGTCGAACCACAAAATCAGATTTGCAAAGCAGAAAAAAGTTTACGTTGAGGTGAAAGTTAACACATCCACAATATCACTTAGTTTTTCTTGAAATGAACTTCCAACAATTTCGGTATGTCTTCAAACAAGATCTTTAATCTCTCAGTCACACTTTCTCTTTGGACTTCCCGGTTCTGCAAAATGCAAAGCATCATAAAAAATACGAACTTGAAAATTATTCTACAACATGTTTGTCACTAATACCGTCCATGAAGTGCACATGAAAAAAAAAAAAAAAAAAAAACATGTTTCTACAAAATAAATATTTTTAAAATCAACAGCAACACAAAACAACATACAAGGGCATGCATGCCCCTAAAATCCATTTACAGGTTTCCTTTCTAAAGCGATTTTATATTTCCATAAATGCACCAAAACACTCTCCATGATTTTTACCGTCGATTAGGGCCATGTATCTCACACCAAGGTGCACATATTAATAGCGAGTTTGCAACGAGCTCGGCCCATTTCTAGGCATGTTATGTAAATTTCAAAACAGAATAGTGAAATCATTCCAGGGCATTTGATCTGGTTGCAAATTGCTAATTTAAACAATCCGTGTTTTAGATAGAATTTTAGGTGTGTGATAGCACTAAATGAGTTTCCATCACTTGTTCCAATAATCTGAAAAAAAAAAAAAAAAAAATGGAAATATTATCATAGAAATACTTTAAAACGTCAATCATGGCAAGGAAAGGATGGCTACTAGCAGTTCAATATGTGTGTGTGTGCACACACACACACATTAGTACTTTAAGCATTGATGTCAGGATATATAAGAGCTCTTTCATACGTCATTAGAAAAGGATGTGTATTCCCAGATAATCAATAGATAAAGAAATGATATACACCCAAAAAGCAAATCACGAGGAGGAGAGTTGGGTGCCAACAATAACCCCTTTGTTCAAAATCCCAGGAACAATAATCTAACAGGAGTACTATTATTTACATAAACCAATAAAATTTGTTGCAATCCATTGTCAAAATAAACCAACACTCGTTCATTGAAGTGAAAAAAGAAAAATGAAGAATAATCACTGCATTTTTTACCACAAACAATATGCTCTCTTTAGTTGTTGGCTTTCTTTTTTGCTCATTCATCCCCGAGAAGTAAACAGAGGGTTTAAAGGGGAGCACCAAAAAAAAAATAAAAAAACAATGTACTAGCTAAAACCCAATATTTTTTTTGCAAAGTTAAAAACCTAAAACTAATTTCTCAATCCATATGCACAAAATCGTTTATACACAAAACACAAGATGTTACCTAGAAGCAAGCACAAATCAACATTATAATGTCATACAGTCGAATAGAATGCTAAGAATGAAATAGCACACAATAACACTAAACTCACATATAGGGTGTGAAATTGAATCATGTCAGATATATAGAAATGATTAGGCACAGTTAAGTTGTTGGCTTTGCTCAATCATTTGAAAATAGATAAATTAACCCAAAACAACTTACTCTTTTCCAATACTACTCATGCCATTTAGCTTTTTATCTTGCAAGGAATAAACCTATACTAAATGAACAAAATTTAAACGTGTGAAGAAATTACTGAAAATTGACTTAAATATTTACAAGCATTTTCATTCACATCTTACCAAATAGAAACACGAAGGAAAAAACAAAAGGACCTTGCATTCACAACTTATCCTAGCATAAAATCATAATAATATAACAGAAAGTAGAAGAATTTGAAGTGAAAATAACTCAAGTTCATAATGACTAACTGGCAAAGAAAGCATGCAAAATCTGAATAAAATAATATATCAGTATAGATTTAAAAGTAAGAACAACCCTTAAAATTGTCACAACTATAACCCTAATAGGAGACCACCCAAGAAGTGAAATGGGTTTCTCTCAACTTCCTCTTTCTCTCTCTCTCTCATCTCTACACTATGAAAAGATGACCATGAAAAATTTAGATTTCTAAACAAACAAATACCTATGAAAAATTCACAACAAATACAAAGAAAAATTAGAATATAGCAGTGGAGAGTCAAGAAGAATACACAATCTGCATAATTTCGGATTGAAAAAGAAGAAAAGGAAAAATCAAAATAATACACAATCTCATTGGCTAGTAACATCAACAAAATAATAATAATAATTAAAAAAAAAATCAACATACATAATATAAAAAATAAAAATAAAAACTGAACAAAGAGTGAAAAAGAAAGAGAGATAGAGTCAGAGAAAGAAATAGCTACCAATAGTCTGGTTCAATGGTCGACGGAGACTCCGATCCGAGCGGGGTTAAGCTGTGAGGAGCGGCGAGCAAGGACAATCACGTATAGGGTTTGACAAAATTTAGTAGGTTGTTGCGTCCAAAGTAAATGACCTGAAGATGTCTAGTTGGTTTACTATTTGCCCCAATATTTATGAAATTAAAAATATAAATAGTTTATGTCATCACTCATACAAAATTTTAATTTGAACTAAAATCATGTTCAGCAAAATATAAAATCATTGTTTGTAGGATGCTCATCAACCTCATTGTTTGCTGCTCATCAACCTCATTGTTTTCTGGACAACCATTTTCTGAAAATAATCGAAAGATATTGTAATGAAGTAATGTTTGGTTCTCTGGCTAGCTAATGACTGCTGCAGGTAATTTGTGGACCTAAACCCATCATAATCAAAACCACAATTTTGAACTGAAGTACTTAATGACTGCTGCGTGTTTAAAGTATCCAGGCACCATGGGAGCAGTAGTCTACATCCTCACTAACAGTAAAACCCACAATAATGATTAAAGTTACATGGAAGATACTAAAAATACACTTAATGATCAACTAATTGAACACAATAAAAGTTGACTACTGAGTTACCACTTAATTCCAAGCCAAAACATATGTCATCGTGTTTGGAACTTGGAACCAAGAACGAATCATTCCCACACAATACTTTAGTTGCACTAGTTCTTACTGTTGTTGCCTGCTTATGCTTATATGGACTTAATTGGTATCTATGTCAAAAAGCAAGAGTGATTTTCTGACGTCAGATTTGCTCGACCACAAAACTCAGGATATTAAAACATAGTTGTCATGGTAAATCAACATCCAGTAATGGTATTTGTTAGACGATGTGCATTGAGTGCACGGGTGCAATGGTAGAAAAGCTAAACCAGTTGGCTGAATTAGATTAAAAAAAAAAAGAAAAGAATATACATTTTATAAAATGCTGATAATGTTCTTTTTTTGCAATCAATTTGCATCATATAATCCAAGATTGTTCTTTAGACACCAAAAGAGATATGAATACACATCATGGATTGTTATGATGTTATAATTGATTTTGGAATTTTAAGACATACATCTGTTAAGGACACTTTCACCATCTGTGTAATCAAGCCAGGTTTACACCATTAGTCTATGATGTTTGTGTTACTTCCTAAATCTTCGATGAACAAACTTTAATCTTCCTCTAAACCCCGAGTTTCATTCTCAGGGACATAATGTGATGAACTGATTATTATATGGATGATATAGAAACAATCATCAGGACTCAAACCAGGTTTCTTTATGCATCATTCAGAGACTGTCCTTGGGCACATCTCATACAATAGCTTTATTGTTCAGACATGTATCCAACACGATTACTCGAGCCAAGCAACTAGGCTAAATGTGGTTCTGCCCAAAGAAAATGAGATTCTGCCCAAAAAAAATTATTAGATTGAGAGTTTTCGCCTTTTCTGTTTCAGGTTTCGTATCATTACACTTTGCACATTTTTGAAACTATTTCAGTCTTTTTAATTTGCAGTTCACCGGTAAAGAAAATATGCATATTTTGACGTGGAATTTGGGTAACACTATACATGTCTACAAATAGTTATTTGGGTTGTTGATTATTAATTGGGAAATATATAAAGAATCGTTTTTTTTCTTCCGAAAAGTTAAATTATGGGATAAAACTGTACAAGGTTACATGGACTATCCAGCTAGTTAGTATAATGGTCCAACTTGGCCAAAAGCCCATCACAACAAAATCTACTTAGGTCACGACAGCGAAATAGCAGAAAGAGAGAGGAATGGCGGCTAATTGGAGGAGTTGTGGCAATCGGATGCTGTATTCCCACCAGTCCATGCAGAAAATACGGTGTAATTGTTCTAACCCGGCGAGTTTTCACAACTCCAGTACCAGTGGTGGTAGTGGTTTGCTCCTTGGAGGTGGATGCTTCAAAAAAGCTGCGATGTTTTTGCTGATCCGGCGTTGTTCTTCTTCTTCTCTACCTGTAAGTCCTCGATCACTGTCTTCATCACCATTGCTCATGGTACCTCCCGGTGTTAATGTTGTCGATCACCACAATTCGGAGTCCAGCAACAAGAACAATGAGGAGTATTTTCATTTCTTCAGCCTTTCGGAGCAGAGTCAATTTAGGGTTCGAAGGACTCTCAGTGTACCATGGCAGAGGGAGCTTCTTATGCCGAATGGCGCATTTTGTGTGGGCTCTTCTCATGGCTGGCTGGCCTTTAACCACCCTCACAATTGTCATCCTTATCTCTATAATCCATTAATAGACTCTCCTCATTTCCCCTACATTCCCCTCCCTTCCGTCGAAACCATCCCCTCCGTTCGCGGCTTTCGCTCCCTCAAATCCGATCACTCCTCCCCTTCCCCTTCTCTCATCACACAGTTCATCAACTTAATACACGCAGACTGCAATTCCGAGGTGTACACATACGAGGAAAAGATGTCCTCGGAACGCGCCTGTTGTTACTTCGTACAAAGGCTTGTTATGTCATCAGCCCCAACGGTCCCCTGTTATTCTTCATCACTATCAAAACCACAAATTGACGGGAACTGCACTATAATGGCCATCCACGGCGGAGGTGATGAAATTGGCTTCTGCAAACCAGGGGACGAGAGGTGGACTATGTTGGACGTTTCGGGCCCAATGTATGCTGACATTATATATTGCAGCAAGGACCAGCGATTTTTTGCCCTCAGATTCGATTTTAGCATAGAAGCTTGGGACCTCAGAGACCCTTCTCGTCCCCAAAAGCAATTTTTTCATAGGCCTTAAGGAATCTTATATTTGGGGTGAGAAAATTTATTTAGTTGAATCCTGTGGGGATATTTTGCTGCTTTGCAGGTTTATAGCTCGAAGTCGAAGATTGGAAGTAGAGAATAAGATTAATGATGATGAATGGGAAAATTATTTCATTCACGATGATGATGCTTATTGGACTATGGGATTTGATGTTCATAAGTTTGATTCCGATAACAATAAGTGGGAAAACGTGGAATGCTTAGGTGATCGGGCTATGTTTGTGGGTTATAATAATTCCTTTTCTCTCTCAACTCGTGATTATCCGGAGCTGGTGGGGAATTCTATCTATTTTGCAGACGATTACTTAAAAGAATTTAACAACGCATATGGTGGCCATGACAATGGCGTCTTTAGCCTTGTAGATAACCGCATAAAACCTTATTATCCAAGTAGGGTGAAGGTCATTGACCCGCAGCCAGTTTGGGTTGACCCCAACACAGACAGCTAGCTAGCTCCTTTTGGAGGTTTCCCTTTCATCTAGGTAAGTTTGTTGTTTCTCTTTCATTATGGTTGGCAGGAGCAAGGCTTTGATGTTTAAAGCACTTGATCTTGATTATACATGCAATTGATCTTGATTATATATGCAATTGCCTAATATGGTAGATTTTGGTGCTTAGAAAGGTGTTTTTGCTTATAATTCTCATTGGCTAGTGTTTATTAGTGTATGTTTGGTCACCATTTAATGTGGGCACATTGTTAAAATTCATGCATTATTGGTAAGGAGATATGATTAATGAGCTTTGTTCATCATGATTTCAGTTTGTCACTGTATTGTTCGAGTGTATTGAAGATTTAACTCGATAAGTTGCTACATATTGGTTGTTTCATTTATTTGTATTATAGTTTGGAACTCCTGAGTAGGAATTTAAGCCGAATATATAGATTCCAATTTTTTTCTTTTTTCTTTTTTGGTATTATAAAAAATCCCTAATTTGACCTTTGACTACAATATTATTGCTATTAATTCTAAGAACACTATTCTTGCAACCCCTTCCTCAACAAATGAGCTCATCTCTCCTCACTCGCAGGAAGCCCCCATTACCCATAACCAAGCTTCTAGCCCTCCAAAGCCGCAGCAAATAAGAAACTTCAACCCTTTATTATATAGTTCTCCAGGGCACCAGATTGATCGACTCAATGAACAATTGCAATGGAAAGATGAAAATTTAGGCAAGGCATTGGACATGTACAGAGAAAGGAACAAGATAATCTCTGATTTAAGGGAAGAACAACAAGGCTATATGGACACCATCTCAAAGTTGCAATCAGAACTTGCTGAGCTTAGGAGGCAGCTCCACCACCAACGGCAACCGGCAACCTCCACCCCAATCCTCGATGATCTGACAAACAAGGTGGACCCAGGTTTGTGTTCAAATTTGAATTCGAATTCGAATGGAGTGGTCACATTACCACTACAAGCTCATCCACAGTCAACACTATCCAATGCACTAACCTTACCACATACCCCACATACCATCCCAATTGAGGAGGTAAGCCCATCACCTACTTTACAGCCTATGTTGGCCTTATAACCAAACTCTCCAAGCATACACACCAACCCTATACCTATACCTACATTAGCCCATCACACCACTGACCCTCAACCTGCTAAACCCCATTCCACCTCCCCCAAAACCATTAACCTTCAAATAAATCCCTGGTCGGAAATGGTCAAAAACAGGAATGACAAAATGAAGTTTGAGTTCCTTCCTCCACCTTCAACATCTGGCATCATTGAACTACCAAAGGAAGTGTTGGAAGAATGTCAACAATTCTAGAATGATGCTCACGTGGTAGGTGTATCTATCCATAAAAAGGTCCCCTTCAAAGTCATTCATGCTGCAGCAACCAAGTTATGGAGCAAACATGGTCTCATTGTAACAATACAAGGAGAGGGAAATTCCTATTTTTTCATATTCCATTCAACAACTGAAGCTGAAAAGGTACTATCACTTGGGCCATGGACAATTGCTGGCCATCCTTTCTCCTTGTTGAAACGGAGCCAATTGAATCAACCCCATCTCACTCACATGGGCTGCGTCCCTTCATAGGTCAAATTTCACAATATTCCCCCAAATTACTGGACAGCCAAAGGTCTCAGCTACATCTCTAGTTCAGTGGGAGAGCCCTTCATGCTGATGAAGCCACAGAGAATAGAACCAAGCTCAAATATGCAAGAATATGCATTAACCTTGATTTATCCAAACCATTGCAAAATGAAGTCCAGCTCAAGATGGAGGATGGCAGTACTGAAAGAATCAGAATTGAGTACCAGTGGCTCCCTAAAT